CCTTTAGAGGTTGGCATGTCCTATCATTGATCTCGTCGTTGAGAAGTGGGCCGATAACCTATGCAAGTGTTAGCCTGGCACTTCGGAGGTGACACGACATACTCTCGCGCTAGGACTTCGAGAGCTGGCCTAGAGAAGACTGCCGCATGGGTGAGGACCTTTGGTAGCCCTTTTTTAGAGTCAATCTGCCTTAGTATCGCATGTGGTACTGTCATTGCTCAATGAGGTTGAACTAATATTAATATTGTTCCTCTTGAATGAAGTATGGGCTCATGACATTCCCGCATACCGCACTCTCGCAGGCAGGCTGCCAGTGCCCACAGTAGACTATATGTAGAGGAGCAGTCAATAAATACACATTACATTATATTTATAATGCTCGCCTTCAGACTGTGCTCAATACAAGTTAGGATCATGACTACCATCACTCCCAGTAAGTCTCAGGGCATAGGCGCTTGATACAGTGCGCCGGGCTTGGGGGTTCAAAGAGGCCGCCCGAGAACAATGCACAGGCGGTGCGATGCACTCTTCAGCCCAATAAAGGTCAAGTCTGTTAGCAAGACTATGAATGTACAACACCAAGACCTTTTACAAACAACAAGAGGAAACTGTATGTTTACTGTGTATAAACGTTTACACCAAGTTTACATGACTTCATTTACACACACGGAAACGGTAAACAGTAATAAACGTTTATACACAGTAAACAAACAAAACGGTTGGAGCCTTACTCTCCAGGCTTGCATTCGCAGTTCGAAATAATCACATGCATTGAATTTTGGATTAGTTGATGGCTTAGATTTTACATAAAAACAGCGCTTGCCGATTCATGTACCGCCGCGGTCGCTTCGTGGCGTCATTGACTCGAGGGACGGGAAGCTCCGTTCCCTCTGTACCTCGCACGGCCTCATCGAGCACAGGTTTCTGCTTGTTTACATAGCGCCGAGAATAAGTCTTCTCGCGGTTGACCGGCCATCGTCAATCAGCCGTGAGAAGACTCTCTCGTTGGATGACATCCAACAGGCCTAACAAGATTTACCCGCCGAAATTTCTTTATGGCGCAAATCTCAGCGAGACCTAGACAGTCAGCTTTACATCCAAGATGCCTTCTCCTCATGGTTTAGGGGCAGAAGTTCCATATTCTTACTCCATGGCGACAGATTTTGCCGAGTGGCTGACCTTTACGCGTCAGCCTTGAACGGATAAATAACGTGTGTACACTGTCATCTTCTCTTCCCCAGTGACTTTCACTACTCCTGTCCACGCGCACGCACATCATCCAAACTTTCCCCACACACTTGCACGCAATGGCTGCTACTTGGCATGACATGCCCTTCATCCGCGTCGTTGATGAGTCCCGCCCGATCATCGACGACGGGTTCCAGCTCTTGCAACACGCGTACGCTCGTCAGGACCCAAGCATCCGCTACCGTGGCTTTGAGATGTCTCTGCGAGCTAACACCTCGAAGCCCGAGCCCACTCCCTCCGACAGGCCTCGGGGCATCCACATCAGTGCCCCGAAGACGGTCCCTGGACTCATCGCTTCTTCGCTTCTCCTCCCGCTCGATGTCGCCCGCCAGTGCAAGCACATCACGCACCGGAGGGAGGGTTTCGAGATGAATGAGGCGAGGAAGCACTTGGACATTGAAGCGGTGCGTAATGGCTGGTTCTGATTTTCATTTTGTCTTTCTTTCTTTCTCCGTGATATTTGGCTGTCCGCCGGCGGGGGCGCGGAAGGTGCAGAAGTGCGCAGCTGTGCCGGAAGCAACCTCGTTGGTCGTGGATGAGGTTTCTAATTTCTTTTCCTCGCCCAAAAACCACAAAACCACAAAAACCCTCTTGCTCTCTCTCCGCTATTAAAACCTAATACTCCGAGCTCCTTAGAGCCCGGGGCCACCCCCTACACTGATGTACTTGCTTTTGCAGTCAGGCCAACCATGACCCTCACTGCACGCGCAACCTGAACTCTGGACCCCGGACCCTAGACCTCTACGGTGCGCTCGGGGCATGCTCGACGGTTGCCGACGCCGAGCGCGCCCCGAGGATTTATACTCTCTCGCGCATATCCACATCTGCTGATCCCTTTTGCGCACACCACTAGGGCTTCAGAACGACAGGACTGGGGACGGTTCGGCCAGCCGCTCGCCCGGTCAGGTGCTAGCACGCGGAAGTCGTAGGTGTTCTTCACTCTGACTGTGAGCGAACCGAGGCTGACATGCAGATTGACAGAGACTCCGTGGCGACTGGCACCATCCTGAGGGAAGGGCAGTCGCAGATACCAAGAAGCTAGTCTGCGGGTGCCCCAGCGCAGACCTTTCCGCGGTCCTCAGGATAAGTACTCGTGTGCGTGCAGCTGGCAACCGGACGTTGCCCGTTGCCGCGACGAGGAAACTAACATGCGCTTTCGTCCACCCGGCGGCGGCTACATCCCAGGCGGCGAGTGCAATGCCTGACCCCGTGGGAGCAGTGTCAGTCGGACCATCTCTTGTCAGAAATGTCTACTACAGCAGTTTAAGTCTCCTGCCGTTATGTGCATCTGTGGACCTACCTGCGTCTGATTTGACTTGTCTATTTCTCTCGCTCACGAGTGGTCCTCTTTTTATTAAATTCGAAAATCTAGAGTGTGAAGTCAGCAGCTGTGTTAGTGCATGGCGATGTACCATAATACGCCTTGTTTCGCTAAATCGACACCGAGCGTTGGCGGAGCGATGCCTTTCTACACCCTGAAGTACGAGAGGCAGAAAGTTAGAGAATGAATTATACTATCCGGTCCTCCGATTGAATAAGCAAATTAGGTGTAGATTACACGATCCAAAACAGCCCAAGTATTAACGACGAAGGGATAAAGGAGAGCACGACTATGCTACCAGAGCAGCCAGTCTCCGGAGATGTGGCACGTTCAGGTACGCGGGCACATACGTCTCTAGACCGGATACGTCTCTTGGTAATGGGAGTTCGTACGGGCCTACATCTTCCGTCTCTGGTGGAAGGAGCAGGTGGTCGTTTCTGTCGTTAGCGTTGACGCGAGATGCTACCACGCGAAGAATCTCAGGCGAGATGGGGGTCTATAGTGTATAATCAGCAACAAATCAATACCACTAGGAAGACGCATACCTCGTAGTCTGCGACGTAGTAGTTCGTGCACATGCGCTGTATTTGCGTGGGCGTCAACATCCAGCATACGTCGTAGATAATCTCAATATCCGCCGGCGTTGACTGGACAATGTCAGAGAAAGTTGCGGGAGGACATGATATGTACGATACCTTCTTAAGCTGCAGCAACTTGGTGGCCTGCATCAAGTGCTCAAGTTGAAGGGTTCCTTCTGGCATGTCGTGAGACTTGCACCACTCCTCTATACGAGTGATATTATATTGTATTTGCATAGCTGAAGAACGTCAGTGTTGTTTGAAGGGCTGAGGCGTATGATGCACACCTCGTTTCCATGAACAGAAATTACGTCGCATGAGTAGGTCGTTAAAGCTCGTGACGCCAATTAACTTGAGGAGCTCCGTGGTGACTTGTTGAATCACCGACTCTTCCATGTAGTAGCTCTTCAAGCTTTTCCAAACCTTATTCAACAGGTTGAGGATATCGTCCATGCTGTAGGCAGGCTGGGTATTCGAGTTGATGAGCCGATTGAAGAAGCGTCCACCGCCCTCGGCTGTGGTGAAGCCGGGTAACGACTGGCTCTCGATGAGCGCGGGTATAACCATCTTCTGGAGCCGCTTCTTGGTCTCAAGCATCCAGGTGTGGTAGATGTTGTACTCTAGACTGTCTAGATCGTGTTTGACAACAGAAACGAGACGTTCGTAGTCGCCCCACTCGAACGGCCGCACTGCGTTCTCTTCACCAGGACCAATGCCTTGGAGCATGTCACTCTCGGCGATGCAGATGAATGACAGCATCTCGTGAACGTTTGATAACCAGAAGATACCAGGGACAATCGCGTCCTCGCCAGAGAAGGACTGTAGAAACTCGTCAGTATCGCATAGATGCCTGGCGGCGCAGCCGACTTACCATCACATGACTCTGGATTGTCTGCATGACGTTCGCGAGGAAGCGCTCGCTTTCGGCAATGAGACCGTACTTCCACATCTCGTTCGTGACTAAACTGATCAGGTTCGCGGGGAACAGGATCTCCTTCATCACCGGCGGGTTATTAGCATTCGGCGCAGGGATCTTGAGGCCGCGAATGAGGCCGTCCAAAACATCCTCGTCCAGGTGCTTGATATCCTGCATGAGACGAATCTTCTCCTCGGCAGGGTCGTCATAGATATCTGAGAGACCGTTGGAGCGCGGGAAGCGGGGTACACTGTCCTCTCCATTGTAGGCAACAGAGACAGCGCGAGGGTTGGATGCCTGACTCTTCTTCGCATTCATCATCAGCTCGTCAACAGACGTCCTATTATCCGATGGGCTGATGGCGTAGACACCAGCTGAACTGTGACGGCGTTGGTGTGCACGACCGTTGACAGCCACCGCGCCGCTTGGGCTGACGGCACTGACGTTTGGCGGCTCGGCCAACCGGAGATTGGGTGCGAACGTGGGCGACAACGGTTGCTGCTCGCGTCCACGGGCCGTCAGAGAGTTCAAAGCGTTTGCGCGGTTGAGCTGCTCGCGCAAGCTGCTGACCTCGTTCTTGAGTGTGAGGATCACAGAGCTGTCCTCGGTAGCACGCTGAGGCGCGGTAGCGGCAGCCTTCTGGACACCCTCTAGCTGGCTCGCTTGGCGCACTATGTCGTCTGTAAGCCTCTGGATCTTCTCCTCCTGTTCTTGCGCACGGAACAGAGCCTCTTCGAGACGCTTCTCGACGTTTGCCTTCTGCAACAAGAGCTCGTCGCGCTGGGCAATTTCGAGCTGAGCCTCTTGCAGATTGCTCTGCAGCTGCTTTGCACGCGCATCCGCATCTTCGTGCCTGCTTGTCATATTTGCCAGCTGCTGCTCGATCTGTACGAGTTGAATCTCGAGACCCCTCTTCTCCTCTGTTCTCCTCTGCAGCGATTGAGTGAGTTCGACAACCTTATTCTCGAGCCGGTACGAGATTTCCTTGAACTTTGACACCGAGCGCGCCTCAGCCTTGAGCGCTTTGAGCTCCTTCCGTGCTAACCTACGCCGGATGCAGGACTGCAGGTAGATGACGTGCTTAACGTCCGTGCGGTATAATCTTCGGACGAGACTGATGATAGACAACATTAGAGCCGGTATCACGCCTGAAAACAAGGACAGGACTTACGCTCCACGGAGCAGGCTTTGAAGGAGGGTAGCGGCGTGTCCCCGTCTTGACTCTTTGAAGAGCTGGCGAGCCTGAGCGCCGCGAACGCGGCTTTGGAACTTGACAACAGCATTACGGACATCGATGAATCTTCGCCTCTGGATGTATCTCCGGATCGCGGCCTGCATCCGAACTGCAGCTGTTTCCCGCCGAACGCCCTCAACAAACCGCTTGGCGAGGACACCACGCCACCAAGTTTGGATTTCGATCGTCGCATGGCGGAGCTCCTGGTACTTCTTGACAGCCATCTTCCTGCGCATGTTCTTCTGCACAACGGTGACAAGTGCATTCAGGCGGTTCAAGCGCAACGATTCGAGAGCGGCAAGCATACCAGCACGGAAGAAGATTTTTGTCAAACCAGATTGGTACTTGTCGGGGTCGTTTATCGTGCGCTCAAGAATCAGATTACAGAGCTGCTGGAGCTCAAGGTTCTGGATCATGGGTTTCCACTCCGAGGAGGACACCAACATGTAGTATCTAGAGAGGGGTCAGGGACACTTCGAAAGATCGAGTGAGGTAACCTACCGTTCCGCAAACTCCTCGTACGTCCATCGAGTGGGGTAGCCCGCGCAGCTGATGCGAATTGTTTCGAGGACACCACAAGCTCGCAACTGACCGAGTACCTGCGCTGGGGTGAACTCCCACGCCCGCTTTACCTCGTTCGGTTTAATACAACGGATGTAGTGTACGTTGGTCATGCCAAGCGTCTCCATGAGGTTATTTAGAGATGCCTTGAAGATCGATGCCTGCGTTGGCTTCTTAACCACTGCACCTGGCCGCTTAGCCCCCTGACTCGCAGCCTGGGACATGATGGAAGCACGGCCAGGGTCAGGAATGATCGACTGGCGTTTCGAGCTGGTACTCGTGGTGCTCGCAGTAGGAGATGCGGGGGGAGCTTCAGGTGACTTCGTGGCAGCGAAGGCGGCATCGAGGACTTCCTTCAAGAAAGCGTTTTTGGTGTCCATAAGGAGGGCCATGTGTTCGTCCGGAACAGTGTCACGATTTTTCTCGAGGAAACCCTCGACCTCGTAGGTGACGTCCAAGGCATAGTGGGCGATCGTGAACGCAGAGTTACCGAACCGAGGCTTCTTAAAAACAGTCTTGTTTCCCGGCTTTAGAAGCTGATTGTTGAGCTTCTGCAAGAAGGAGGTATCCGTACCCGCGGGTAGACGAGACTCTTCGTCGAGAAGAGCCAAGACACCAAGCTTGCCCTCGACAACATCGATACACGGCTGGTTATCTGAGAAGTCAATGAAAGTCCAGTTGATCTTCTCGCGCATGTACTCTTCCTGCTCGAGCTTGAAGACGTGCGCGTTGAACTGACAGGAAAAGTCAGTCCCGCGAAAGTGGCACCACCAATCATCGCCTACCTCTTGCTGAAGTTTCTCGTTAGCGTAGTTGATACTGAACTGCTCAAAGGAATTCTACGACAGCTCCATAAGTATATGCTGACACGAGAGGGCCGGCGCAATACCTTCTTAAAATGCTCGAAGCCGTAGATATCCAGCACACCAATAAACATCTCGGCCTTGTTTGCAGCTTCGCCATTCTCTCCGGCCAGACTCTCGTTGACAATTGCGACAAGCCACTCGAATAGACACGCATACACGAATTTTGCGACGGAGTCTCGAACGACCGTAGCCTGTGCAGCGTTGAGAGACGTGATAATCTTCTCGGAACGCGTCGTGATCTGCTTCTTGACCGTCCACTTCTTGAACTCCGCAAGGGGAACGCCGAGAAACCGTGTCGCCAACTGGAGCGCTGAATCCGTGTCGTCTATATTCGAATCGTTCCGCGCCTGGGTCACCTGGATGTTTCCGAGATGGAGCAACGCCGATAACAGTTTGAAAACAGCCCACTGTTTTTCGATACCGATACCGATGGTTGACAGAGCAGTTTGTGTCGTCCTGAACTCTTCAGCATCGTCAACACCATTGATTGGTGTCGAGGTTGGGCCGCCTTGTTTCAGATAGTGGAATTTTGAGACATCAACATCCAGCGCGAGATCTTTCCGCTCCTTGAGAGGCGCGCCGGCACAGAGCTGGTAGAAGATGTGGTAATTTCGCTCCGTAAGAGGCTGGAAGACCACACGGGAACGCTCGAGAAGGTATGTCCGGATACGAGCACCAACGATCTCCTGCTTGCCATCGAACAGGATCTGAGAGGAAGGTGAGCTCGTATCTTCTTGTCAATTTCGCGCCAAACGCACCTGGATGTATTTACCGAATCGTGAAGAGTTGTCGTTACGGGTTGTTTTCGCGTTACCAAATGCTTCAAGCACAGGATTGGTAGCCAGGATTTGACGCTCGACTTCGGAGGATTCGTCCAGCGATGCCTTCGTCTTGCCGCGACCCTGGGCATCCGGGGGATTGACAGAGGCCAGGTAGCGCATGATGAACTTTGCGGATTCTGTCTTACCTGCACCACTGCACCAAAGTCAACGTTAGTCGCAACGAAATCGGAGGGTAACGAACCTTTCTCCAGAGACAATGATAGTCTGGCCTGTTCCATCTCTGCTCATCGCCGTATATGCATCCTCTGCAATAGCAAACAAGTGTGGCTCCAGTTCTCCTCTCTTCCTGCCACTGTACGCCTGAATGATCTCGGGGCCGTAGAGCGTAACGCGCTGGAATGGGTTCATGGCAATGAGCACGATACCAGAGTACGTGTAGATGCTGTGCTGTGCATAACGGTTCCGGATCGTGTGGAGAACTGTATACGGGTCTCAAACCTCGTATAGTAGCGGAGAACGAGCAGAGAGCACACCTGAAGGCTCGTTGAGATGGGATAGCGTAGCCAAATCATCAGCGGTTTCCAGTAATGGCGGGTTTCGTAATGGCGGGAGGTCTTCGCGGCCGTCCTTAATCTCCTTCACAGTCGTGCTGACGACAATTTCCTGCAATGCAAGTTCATTCTCTACGCTCCACCCGCAAGCGTGGCACGGCGAGACTCACTTTGCCGCGTTCATCTTGGAAGACGAGCTTGACGGAGTCGTCTGGGTTCTTGATGACGGAGGTCACCTCGCCCGATATCCAGCTGAGCTCCTTGTCTGGGAACCAGACCTGGGTTCCCTTGGTGTAAATGTTCTCCGCCATGGCGGTAGTGAAGGGACACTGTCCTAACTTTGCGAACGACGAGAGTGTTGACCGCACGAGGTAGGTATTTCTCACGATCACATCAATCCTCTATTTCCGTTTGATCCAAAGCTTATAGCAAAAGCCACTGCCGCCGAAAAACCCACAAATTAATACGCGTGACGGGTGGTCGAGAAAATGTTTTTCAAGGAAGATTTTCAGCATACAGCGATGATCATGTCTTTAGGGTCTTTCCGAAACATATGTGCAGGCCTTCCACATCCTCAACCAATGCGCCCACGAATAAGTCCGGCCGCACCACCGCAGTTACCGCTTCATCTTCCCCAACCAAGCAAGAAGAATGTGCGGAGCCATCCCTGTCCTCCAGTACAATCGCCTTTTCGTGAGGTGTTCCGCTCTCGCGTGTAACGACAAACGTTTGTACAACTCCTTGGGGATAATGCTGAGCCGCATCCCTAAACTGCCGTGCGTAGTCTTGCCAACCGCGTGGGGCAAAGATCAACAAAGTGTGCCGATGGGTACTGAATAATTCGAATAGCGTTGTCTCCTTGCTTCCAAGGATAAGCCCAGATGCACCGGGTGCGCGGTCACCGGCACGCAGCGTCCGAGTACCCTCATATCCAACATACGAACGAGCAAGGGCATCGTCTTGGTCGAGTGGCGTCCGAGTATGTTCGTCCAAGACGATGTCGCTATATCGGCAGTTAACGCCGAAGAACCCGAGGGCATCGTTCCGCCAGCGCATCCAACCGGACCTCGTGTCGTCCTCTGCGTCCGCTGCAACGTCTGCAGATTCTTTCGGCTTGAGATGCGATATCAGGTGTGTATAGAGCTGCGTAGTAGCTGCCAGCATCTGACTGATGACAGGGATACGCTCATGATTGAGGGAGTCGAGCAATGAAGAGTCCGCAAGACTCTTCATGACGAGCGCAAGCTTCCACGCAAGGTTTGCCTGGGTACGGCTTAGCACAGGTATGGCCCGAATAATACGGCTCGGAGTAACTTACAGCGTCCATGATACCACTGTTCACGCCTTGTCCGCCGGAATATGAGTGCACGCTTGGAAGGGATCAGACCAGGGATAGGCTACTTAATCTCAAACCAACTGTGACGCATCTAGGCAGACAGTTCAGCAACGAAAGACATTTCTGAAGGACATTGAAACGTACTTCCAATACCGAATACTCTGACGGCACGGAATGTCTCTACCATTCTCATGTTTGGTCTGCGGACAATCGATTTACCCCGTACGTCTCGTTGTTTGCGCGCGGACTCACTTGTGATACAAAAGCCAATGCCATTTTCCAAATGCCAACTTTGGCCAACTTGTGTGCTCGCGAATGAATTTCTCAGCCGCCTCAGGCTTGCCGAAGTCGACGGGATCGAAATTCTGACCAGTTATGCCGACATCGAACAAATTCCCTTGTCCAATCTGATTGGGACGCATGATCATTCTAGAGTCATGTCAATCCAAGAAATGCGATGATAAGTGCATAAAAGGGGCTCACGACCACTCTCCTGGTCTACCGTAGGCATGCCACCACTTCAGATGGAAACTTCTATCAGTACGAGAAAATTCTCGTCCATGAAACGCTCACTCCGTTATCAAGTCCATCAATTTCAACGTCTCCCCAGACCGCGCCGTCTGCATCCCTATTCTCTCCCGCAAAGCTCAGATTCAGCAGCTTCCTAGTTGCGCCCTTCGCTCCGTCAGCTCCTACCAAGTACTGACATTCGATGAGTTCGGTGTTGCCTGTCAGCAGGCTATCCTGAAATATAGCGGTGGTAGCGATTACACGGTCCTCTTTCTGCTCGAGGTCGACGAGACCTGTGGACAGCTCGACCTTGACTCCATGGCGCTCGAGCTGTGCCGCGAAGATACGCACTAGTGTCTCCTGTTGCAAGCACCTACCATTGGTCTTCAGAGCTGTCAGCTGTTGATTTTCGATGGCAGGATATATAGTGAGAGTGCGTACGAAAGGGCGATCCGGCCAAGACTTTCGGTCAAGATATAGGGTCCATTCCTTGGCAACTTCGTTCGTACCAGGCTTGTACGCGCGGAAAGTCGGAATAGGCGTGTCGTGCTTGCTGACATCGCCTAGAATACCCAAAATCTGGAATAATTCGTAGGTGCGTGGCTGTGGCAAGCAAAGGTTACGCTTGACGTCCAAGCTCAACAAATAGAGGCACACCTGAATACCGAAGCCGCGAGAACCTATCTGGTGCTCGCCATGCTTCTCGATGATGCGCACAGGAATGTCATTCTAGACAAGATAAAGGGCTGTTGCGAGACCAGTTGGCCCTGCGCCGACCTACACTCGCATGTCAGCCTAAAGCATGCAAAGGGACGCACTCCACATACTACGAGGACAGGAAGATTCGCAGGTATCGAAAGGATAGCTGATCTTTGCTGCGAGCAAGCCAAACCCGTCCTTATAAGCAGGCCGCGAACCCTGTCACCGCTGGATGACGGTGCTCAGACTCCATTATTTGAATCGGGATCCCGCACGGCATGTTTCCAAAGGTTTCTAACAGTATGTATGTGTTTCAGCTGTGAACCACGGTCCAGACTTGCCTCATCACGCGTCATGTCGAATATCCGCCTGTATTCGACCTCCTCAAAGGAATGGGCGCCCGTCTGAAAGGAACTATGGTGGGGGACGGAACTTCATGTCAAGCCGCAATTTCGCCCGGGAGGGCCGCAAAATGCGGTTTTTAGGACCAGAGTGGCCTAGTTAAGTCCAAATCTCGACGTACGAGAAAATCGAGAAATTTAACCCTAACCCTAGAAAAACGGCCAAATTCGCCCCTGGTCAACGGCTCCATACACCTTAAATACTCTCATAGAGCACTCTAGAGAGCATCAATCAACCTTCTTCACACATCTGGGATACTTCTCTCTACATCACAATGGTCCTACAAATGAGGGTAGACCTCCACTGTCGTCGACACCTGCCACTTGACCTAACCCTAGGTGGAACCGAGTCCGAAGCGCCCATTGAGCGTCTTATTACGTAATCCTAAACGACCAAATCATGGCTGCAAAACCTCAAATTTCGGAAATGCAAGAATCTGTCCCGTGGGACTTTATAACCGCCTATCCTAGTGTCCTATTGCGTCAGAAGCTGACCTTTAACGTGTCGTGACAAGTGAGCCTTAGCGGTGGGAAGACTGGCCTCGGGCGCTCGTCATAAAGTCCCGCCCCCCACCATACGACTGTGCCTAGGTGTGCCTTTTCCGGTGTCACACGGATATTACGGGAGCGCACTGGTGCATGAAAACGAGCATATGAAACGACCTTCGGGTCTGCACTAAACGCAGCTCGACGGTAGCTCGACGAGCACCACGGCTCGGTATTCGGGAGTGCTAGTGATCATTAATCATTATCGGCCAAAGTCTCCGTAGGGTGCAGACTGTCGTGAAAGCGAAGCAGTGTGACAAGCCAGAAGTTTGCATACACACACGCTCTGTTAAATACATCGATATCATCTCTCACCCTATCACATCGGTATCGTACGATCTCATTCTCGCTTTTTGACTTCTATAACCTTTTATGACTCTCCGAGGAGATCGCTGAGGTGGTAGGAAAGCAAGAGGTTTCCGCGTGCCTTTAGCCGAGCCAATCATTACGAGGCTCTGCAGAATGGCTGACTTCCTTCGAACTGCCTTCAGCGACTGCCTCCACACTCTTTCCCTATTCCCACTCACTTCGGTATGGTGAAGGAAACGTATGCGAGCCTTTCATTTTTGAAACGAGATTAGTACTGAAAATGCACCAGGAGATATTACGGTCTTCTAGAAGTCACTCCAAATGCCTCGGAGTCCGATCTCAAAAAAGCCTATCGCAAGAAGTAAGCAGTGTTGTCTTAGTATCAACGTCGTCATGGAGCCAACGCTGTCCACAGGGCTCTCCGACTACATCCAGACAAGGGTGGCGATCCTGAGCTCTTCAAAGAGGTCACACACGCCTATGAAGTGCTGTCTGACCCACAAAAACGGAGCATATACGATGCACGAGGCGAGGCAGGACTGAGCGAGTCGGGTGGCATGGGTGGCATGGACCCGCAAGTGAGATTCATAGTGACGAATCTTTCCTCCGCTAACCTGGGCACATACTAGGACCTGTTCAGCCAGCTGTTCGGTGGCGGCGGGCCTTTCGGGTTTGGTGGCGGAAGGCCACAAGGGCCGCGCAAGACGAAAGACCTCGTTCACCGCGTTACTGTCTCACTAGAGGACCTCTACCGGGGCAAGGTCACGAAGCTTGCGCTCACTCGCAACATCATCTGTGGCAAGTGCGGCGGCAAGGGTGGCAAGGAGGGTGCCGTGCGCACCTGCAGCAACTGTAACGGGCGGGGCATCCGCATCATGCTGCGCCAGATGGGCCCGATGGTCCAGCAAATTCAACAGGCGTGCGACGAGTGCCAGGGAGCGGGTGAGGTCATCAATGCCAAGGACCGTTGCCCGGACTGCAGAGGCAAGAAGGTCATCTCGGAAAAGAATATGCTCGAGGTTCATATCGACAAGGGTATGAAGGGCGGACAGACTATCACCTTCCGCGGCGAGAGTGACCAAGCCCCCGGCGCTGTCCCTGGCGATGTCGTCATCGTCATCGAGGAGAAACCACACGAACGCTTCAAGCGTAGGGATACGACCCTGTTCACCAAGACCGAAGTTGATATCCTGACCGCCCTGGCTGGCGGCCAGTTCGTAATCAAGCACCTAGACGACCGTGCTCTCGTCGTGAAAATTCATCCTGGCGAGGTTCTCCGGCACAGTCAGTTGCTTCAGCAACTTTGTGGCATCGCCAGAAGCTAATTTTATCCTAGATGCCCTGAAGGTCATCCCGAGCGAGGGCATGCCATCGCAGCGCCACCACGAGCCCGGCGACTTGTTCATCCGCATACAGGTCGAGTTTCCTGACAGCATGCCGCTCGATTCCATTCCGCTGCTCGAGAAGGCTCTGCCGGCCCGCAAGCCTCTCGAGCAGTTCCCCAAGAGCATCATGCTCGAAGAAGTCGAAGTTGTAGAAGCAGATGCTCGCCAGCACGAGCTGGCCGATGCGGGCGAGGCCATGGACGAGGATCATGAGGGCGAGAGCGAACCCCGCACGCAATGCGCTAACCAATAAACATATCTGGGATTTCGGCTGTACGACGCTGATTCTGGTTCTTCTTGTATCCCTATGCTGTCTTGTTATGTTGTTTTCTCGGTTTCGGTTTCGTTCTCGCGGATTTAGTGTAATGCGTCTATCATCATACGGTGCCTATGTCGTCACACCATCGTTTGTGCTGCAATGGCGGGGGGATTGGAACTTGTGCGGTGTGCTACTAATTATAATGTACAATTCAAGGTACAATCGGCTACCTTCCTCCCGGAGCGTCCGTGATGCTACCATCTTGTCTGACGATCCATTAGCTCAAGGGCTGGAGTGCTACGCGACGAAGGCTAACCTCAGGGTTCTTCTTGAACTGCTCGTACATCTCGTGATTGAAGAAACTAATCTCTGTCTCGTTCTCTGCATGTCCAGGTCAGGTTCAGGGTCCGACGTTGAGAACTCACCACGCACCTATGCCATACTCTGCAAGCGTTTTCATTCCATCATCCAATATCCAGTCATCATGATCCAGGTTGATGATGAGATTTGTTGTCTGCAAAGCAGAGACCATGAGTCGACTGTCAATATATCACAGGAGGCGAGCTGCTAACCTTTGCTCCATGCGCTTTGGTATACAACTTCAGGGTATCTGTGCTTATGGTTAGCACGGTCCAGTGGCTGTCCGGTCAAATGGGTGTACCAAGCACAACATTGCGGTATGGCTTCCATGCTGACTGGGTCTGGACGGCTTCAGCACAACGTCAGACGAGACGGCTTGGGGTTGTCTGAGCAAGGGAGCTTACTTTGTCTCGCAAGGTCTTTCAAGTCCTCTACGGTTGTTGTTTCGCAGTTGATGTTGTGGAGGATCAAGTGCTTCTCCGTCCGAAATTCGAAGGATTTGATTATCCGGATGGTGAGAGTTGCCCTCGTGCGTGGGACGGCCTCGTTCGTGAGAACCTCTTGCTCAGTAGCCATCATGGGGTTTGGACGACGAAGTCAAGGATGTGGTAGTAATGCAGGAAATAAGTATGCTGCTGCTCGACATCACCGCTTTACCGGTCCCAATAAGATCTGGTTTTTTGCAGCTTGGAAGAGAAACTTTCTGCAAGCGGACCAATTGCAACTTACTTAACGCCTCGGTCCTCTCCTGATTTGCCGCGAACCACATCATGCTCAGGGCCCGGAGGCATTTACCACCATGACTCGACAACGACGACGGGCTCTAAGCTGGACGTTAACTACGTTGGTCGTGGTCAGCTTCTCTCGTTGCCCCTTGGGAGCAGGCTGAGATGACTAGTAAATCACCGAGGAAGCGACCTTCCACCAAACCGGATCACCGTCTGCACTCGACGCCATTCGGCCACTGGCTCTCACCACACGCCTGCTCAATTCCGAGTCCAACCTTGCTTCAAGTCCCTCAAGCCGTTGCAGAGGGCGAGCGAGCCGAGCTTGCCTGTGAATACATAAGAACACATCTGACCACTCAAGACGAGATGCTTTTCCGAGGTTCCCCCGTGGCCAGCGCCGATATCCTGCCCAATTTCGCAAGCTTAAGGACATCGCAGCTATAAGAGGCCGAAGTGTCTTTGTGAGATGGGGTCATTTGTTTTGAGAGGATATCGTCGCAGCATCCCCGTGGAAAAGCTAAAGCCATGTCCCGTACATTCCTGGACGCCTCCATCCTCGAGCTCGTGCAGAAGTTGTCCACGGAGGAGAAGATATCTCTACTCGGGGCACCGAACTGGTGGAACACGACGTCGATACCCAGGCTTGGCATACCGTCCATTCGTATGAGCGATGGGCCAAACGTACGTGGACTCTACTCCTAGGATCAGCTCGTCGCTCACGTGCTGCACCAGGGTGTGCGAGGCTCTTCTCACTTTGTCTCGACTCCTGCACAGTGTTTCCCTGTATGTATACGCGTCATATTTTAAGAACGCTGCTTAGGGCGATCCAACAGTGTGCGACGTCTATGGCATCTACGTTCGACCCGGAACTTGTGCACAAGGTTGGAGCCTTGCTTGCGGCAGAGGCAAAAGTGAAGTCCTCGGTCGTTCTGCTCGCTCCGACTTGCAACATCCAGAGGACGCCTCTCGGTGGGCGCGCCTTTGAATCTTTCTCAGAAGACCCTCATCTCTCCGGTACGTCTTTATACCCGTTCTTTACGCGGAGATCAGCTTGTGTTCAAGCTCATACCACCCTCTAGGTATTATGGCTGCTGCCTATGTGGACGGCCTGCAAGAGAACGGCGTTGCTGCTACAATTAAGCATTACGTCGGTAACGACCAGGAGCACGAGCGGACCGCTGCCGAGTCTGTGATCTCTGACCGTGCCCTGCGAGAGATCTACTTGTACCCGTGCGCTATACCGCTTCAAGGAACTGCATATCCGATGATGAGCTGTGGTCTAGGTTTATGCTCGCCCAAAAACTCGCCAAGCCTTGGGCATATATGACATCGTTCGTAACATATGCTCCGCTTCGCGACTTTTGCCTCATTTTATCTGACATAGGTATGGCCGCATACATGGAGTCCATCTGTCCGAAAATCCCTACTTTCTAAAGGATATTCTTCGCAGAGAATGGGGGTTTGACGGTCTTGTCATAAGCGACTGGTAAGTCACCAATACTATATGCGCTCTGATTGCCCACCATCTTCGCGATCCTCTCAGGTTTGGGACATACAGTGTTGATCAGTCTATCAATGCCGGTATGGACCTCGAGATGCCCGGTCCCTCACGTTGGCGTACGCCTCTGCTCGTCACCCACATGCTGAGCAGCCAGAAAGTGCTGGATTCTACGCTGAACGAACGCGCTGCGACAGTGCTCGCGTTTGTCCAGAAGCAAGCGCGGAGGAACCCCGAGGTCGTCTATGGTGACGGCCAAGAACGTACTCGGGACAATCCTGAGACTAGGGCTTTCGCTCGGCGCCTCGCTGCAGAGGGTATGGTATTGCTTAAGAACGAAGGTTCAGTGTTACCCCTGAAGGTCGAGAAGGACAAGGTGAAGAAAGTCGCGATTATTGGGCCGAACGCGAAGGAGCGGGTCATTTCTGGAGGTGGATCGGCACAGTTGAAAGCTAGTTATGTGACCACTCCGTATGAAGGCTTGGTTGGCAATGCACCAGAAAGCATCGAGTTTTCGTACGAGGTCGGCTGTTACGGTAAGCCGGCCCCTCTGGAGTCTTGCATGGTCACTGAAGCACTACCGCTTAAGCGCACAAGTTCCTTCCCACACTCGAGAGCTTCTTGACCACACCTTCCGGCGAGTCGGGTTGGCTTTGCTCCTTCTACAACCACGACACTGAAGGCGAGCCCACTGGCTCCACTGTCGGGGAATTCGTACTTCGTGACACCCGCGTCAAGCTTAATGACTTCCTCCCGGCTGGTCTTACACCAACTTGGACGATCAAGCTTACCGGGAAACTCACGGTAGAGAGCACCGCTGACTATGAACTCGGTTTAACCGTCGCCGGACGAGCAAAGCTATTCATCGACGGCAAGTTGACGATCGATAACTGGACGAAACAAAAACCTGGAGAATTCTTTTATGGGTCAGTATCATGATTCCAGCTGAGAAAACGCACTGATTGAATTACTTACAGTCAAGGTACAATCGAAGAAAAGGCGGTGGTCCCGCTCGAAGCTGGAAAGCCTGTGGACGTGTACGTCAAGTATACCAATACGAAGCCTCCTGAAGGCCCCGAGGCCGACCGCTCGCAACCCGCGCTTATGCGGGGCGTGGTGCGTTACATGCGCAGACTCAGATTGTTGTCCTGCTGGTCTGACCTCAGGAACAGCGCCTTGGCGGCTGCGAGAAGATTGACGTCGACAAGGCTCTCGAAGCTGCGGTAGAGCTCGCTGCCAAGTCTGATGCAGTGATCGTTGTTGCTGGCCTGTCTCCAGAATGGGAGTCTGAAGGGTTCGATCGGCCGACGCTCAATATGCCCGGAAGGCAAAACGAGTTGATTGGGCGGGTAGGTAGGGCGAACGCGAACACTGTGGTCTGTCTACAAGCTGTAAGTGCTCTCGCCGTCTCTGGGTACATTGTGAGTCTCAGCGATATCGCTGTAGGGATCCGCTGTTTCGATGCCATGGGTCAATGATATCAGCTCCATAATCCAAGCATGGTACTCTGGCAACGAGGTTGGGAGCGCCCTGGCCGACGTGATCTATGGCAGTGTCAATCCATCGGGTCGTCTGCCCCTGACATTACCGGTCCGCGAGCAAGATACCCCAGCCTATCTGTGCTCGCACAGCGAGAACGGACAGATCCACTACAGAGAAGATATATTTGTTGGTTACAAGTGGTATCAGGCCCGTGCAATTGAGCCGCTGTTCCCCTTCGGGTAAGTATATCTACGACTTTATATGTAATGTTGGCTTAATGAATGAACCCAGGCACGGCCTATCCTACACCACCTTCTCCCTTGCTGACCTCGTCATATCCTCTCCGGTATCGTCTGCTTCTCTGTTTGCTCTTGATGTCTCTGTCAAGGTGACGAATCTGGGAAGCGTCACGGGCTCCGAAGTCGTGCAATTCTATGTCATTCTTCCTGACATCGGCCTTGCCACACCCAGCCTGCAACTCCGAAGCTTTTCCAAGGTTAAAGACCTCGAGCCCGGCCAGTCAAAGACTGCTACCGTGCAACTGGATAAGTACGCGGTGTCCTATTGGGATACGAGGCGGAACGCATGGGTTGCAAAGGCCGGGAAGTATGGGCTGGCCGTCGGTAGGAGCAGCGAGGATATCGTGCTAAAAGGATATTTTGAACTGCAGAATGAATTCGAATGGAATGGCTTGTAAACAAACGAAGCGAAGGAAGTGTACACTGATTCCGTAATAGACGACTTCTTCATTAATCATCATGTGTGATTATACGATGACGTCTATTTGTGGTGAGTCTATAGTGGCACTGATGTTGTGGTATCAGGCTAGTGAGACTTAAAAAGGTGAATAAACCCCTACAGTTCGAAATTTCGGTACTGACTAATACTTGCAGACTATGGACTGCATGTAATAACACACATCACTATAACGACGTGGTCTTCCGTCTCCGAACATCCTCACTGTCGGTATCAAAACTCGAACTTCTTGCACTTCAGCGGTGTACCGGCCAAAAAAAAGAAGAGGAAAGAAAACGACGTTGTGAGACAAAGCACAATGTATGTACGTGAACATGCGTTGCGCTCAATAACGATGCTAAAATGAACTAGTACTTTCACTGTCCATATCTAGTCTAGAGGAAGTTGCCCGTAGCTCACTGCGTCGGGGCACAGGAGCCTGAACATCGAAATATTACCCCATGAGCTGGGCCGCGGATCGATCTTGAGGCCACTGCTTCTGCTGACAGGGGTCGCGTGGACCATCCGCTCGCGATAGAGGCACTCAGACCTAACCGTTGCGCTTCTCCCGCGAGGCTGACAAGCCAGCCACGATCGAATGTGAGCCTCGCCTAAGGTACATAGGACGAGTCCCTCGCCTCTCGGTCCTCCAGTATACCTCGTATCCGCACCACTCCTGCACCCACAGCTTCCCACATCTACCTGTATTATGCCTCGCTTCAGCTCTCTTCGCAACGTCCTTCGCCGGTCGAACGACATCGCCCAAGAGATGGATGACTTCATGTCCGGTCCCTCCTCCATCCCTTTTACCCCGCGCCCGGAGTTTCCCTCCATCCCCTTCGTGTCGCTCCACCGCCGCCCGGGACTCATCTCCCTCGCCGAGGCTCAGCGTACGCCGGAGATCGTCTACCACTCCGTCAGCTCCATCCCGGAGCCGACGCCCGAACCTGAGCTCGAGTTCCCGGCGCACAGCTACCAGATCAAGCTCGTGCCTCTGGCAGTCGCTGCCGCCTGTCGGGACATCAAGTACCGTCGGGAGGGCTTCGAGATGATGGAGGCGCGTGCGCACATTGAGGCGGTCCGCGCCGACCTCTTCTAGGTGTGCCCTGTGTTCTTTGGCTCTTCGCCTGAGCTGAGGAGCACGACGCTCCGATGACGCTGTGGGCTGGGTCTTCGGGCCTGGGGAGGCTGACTTCTCGGATGCTGCGAACCTGTCGGGCGGCGGAAGTTGACGGAAGTGCGCAGCCGTCGATGGAAGCTGACTGGTGGACGAGTGGCTGACGGGTCGTCACCGGCGTCGTGCTCGTACGTGCTTGGTCTGGCGGGGGCCGAAGGCGGGCGGAAGTGCGCAGCCGACCGCTGGAGGTTTTCTCTGGGCTGAGTGCGAGCGGGTGTGAGGTCGGCGTCCTCTCCATTTTCCTTTCCCTTTTCATCATAAGCTCCAAAAATCCTCAAAATCACGTCTCGGATTTCTCTTTTTCTCTCTTTTCTTTTTGGTTGCGGTCTCGGTCTCGGTCTCTCTCTCTCTCTCTCTTATCGTTCTCGCGTTTTACCTATTTTGTCCCCCCGGCTCCGCATAATACTCCGGACTCCCTAGGGTTCAGAGCTATCCTCCCCACTGACGCTTTCCTGTCCCTGCAGATCAGCCAACCGTGACCCTCGCTGCGCGCGCATGCCCGATCCGAGCCAGGACGCTGGACCGTTGGAGCTCTGCGGTACGCTCGGGGTGTGTCCGATGGTTGTTCGAGAGTTCTATTCTCCGTCTCGCGTATGTGTTGTGCTGACCTTGTCTTTACCTTCCTCTTCCCTGCACGCCTAGGTCATCGGAGCGCTGCGGTACGCTTGGGGCATGCGCGACGGCCCACAACGTCGTGAATCCCTCGAATCTCTCATTTGTCCTGCTCTTGTGTGAATTCTCTGGCAGCTCACCTCCCCTTATGTGTCTCAGGGTCCCGGAACGACGAGGGCTGGGTGACGGTCTGGCCAGCCGGTTGCCCGGTTGGCGGTGCCATCGGGCAGAGATTGTGAGTACCTCCAGTTTTCTCTGGTGATGTGCAGAAATTGACGTCGAAGCAACAGGCTCTAGCTCTCTGACACCATCCTGAGGTAGGGACGGCCGTGACGCGAAGACCCTAGTCTGCGGCTGTCCTGGCGCAGACCTTTTCGTTGGTCCTCGGGATTAGTACTCGCGCCGTCGAGGAACTAACATGCGCTTTCACGAAACCGAGATTTTGCACGCAGCCTTTTTTTCTCTCTTGTGCGAAAGCTACATGTGCTTCATCTGCCTGTAGTGATCTCTCCCGCCTGCGGCGTGCAATGAGCGCCTAAATGTGCGCGGCTGTCACCGCGCCACGACGTTTAGTCCCGTCCGTTTCCTTCCGCAACCATTTCCTTGTAACCGTGACATACCGTTCTGTGCCGCTATAACGCACCGCGGAGAGACACCAGCGAATACTTACATAATTGCTATGATGATTGAGCATAGCAATCCAAGCCTCGAATCCTTGCTTCAGGGTCCCTTCTCTGAACTGGAGTGCCCATCATTTGCGAACTAACTCATAGGTCAAGCTGCCATGCTTCAGTCATGTGGGACCACACAGTATACGTTGGTAGGATTTACTGCATCCGCGGATGATTAGTATCAAACGTTGAAGTTTTTTGGAGGAACTGGGGAAACGCGTTCTGTAATATTCTCTCCATTTTTGAAAGTTCTGTGCTCATTTCGTTTCAGGAGTTGAAGTTGAAGTCGAAATCGCGGGCACGACAATATTCAAAATACTATACCGATCAGTCTTCTTGTGAAGTCACACCTCATTCAGTGATGGAAGACGACGGACGAAGAAGTTGTCAGATTCCGCCGGTTAGGCTAGGTCTACTAATGGTCGTGGGAAATACATGGTAAGTTTCGTTTCGGGAACAACAGACGTTGTGCCCAGTGAATTGTTGCGAGCTCACGGGTGATAGTGTTATAACGATGTGGAGAAACCCGTTATCTCAGAGACCTTCTCTTCTCTGTTGCCGGCGTTGTCCGCAGGAGCACATCAGAAGCCTGAGTGCAGTCACCCTGTGTTAATAGAAGATCAATGCGTCGATTTCCAACCCGAGTTTTGGTCTCAAGCCGTGGAACGAATTCAGTTTCGTTATAGCTTAAGCTTTCTTCTTTGTTGCTTTATGCATGTCCTTTCCCAGACTAAGCTTCTTTCTTTTGAAGTTGACCATGCTCACACGCTCACGACGTAACTTCGACGCTATGTATGGCACCGGCATGGCGAAACTTGGATATGCGATACAAATCGGCAGAGACGACCTTCACACGTTGCAATTCAACGTCTGTCAGCGGATGCGCTTCCCTCGTACAAGGTTCATGCTCAGCATCTCTACGGAGCCAGTCTGCTCCTGGCGGGGGTATCTCCGTTTAGCAATGCCTACACAGGGAAACTGACCTATTCTTTCTCGCTTATCAATTTCACATTATCCCAGATTCTCAGCCTCTGCTCTCACCGTCTCGCCTGCCATTCGTTCGTAGTACAGAAGATATCGTATAGCGAGTCTTGCGAAAACCATCTGCACGCTATCTACGTGTTTCAGAAGGCATCATAGGACCCGAGGACTCGCCTTGTGACTTCAGGCATAAGACTTCGTGGTGAGTTTTCAAATGCACTCCTCTACAGAAAATCTTACGTCTTCCTTATCCACTTTAGATTCGAGCAAAGCACTTGAGTTCTACAGAAGGTTGGTCCAGTGCGTCGATCTGCAACGTATCGTAGCCCCGCTCAAGAGCTGATTCTTGCAGCCGAATCAGACTGCAAAGCTCGGCATACGCAGGTGCTCAGTTTTCGGTGGAATCGTTGCCTTATATTGACCAGACTTGCTCGCCAGAAGCGATGGGAGTTCTTCAACGAGTCACCACGTGGTGGCTAGGTCTACTCAACCTCTTGGCCGTGAACCAACTCGTGCTACGCCAGCATGGCATCAAAGCTTTCCGCGGTTTCATCTCCAAAGACCCTTCCCCAGACGAGGCTGACGAAAGTATCCGAGTCTCGCGCGAGATCCTTTCCTATGGACCGACAATCGGAATAGATCGGGCTGCCCACCTGACAACTCTCTCATCTGCGCTTCTCACACGCTCAACTGGTACACATGATCCAAAAGACCTTGACGACGCCATCTCTGTAGCACACGAGGCAATATCCCTCTCTCCACCAACAGATCCCAGCCAGCGTCGTGTCGGCCTGCTCCATACCCTTGCCGAGTCTCTCCTCCGTCGGTTCGAGTTCACCGGTCAGTCGACCGATCTGCGGGAGGCCGTGTCCTACCTCAAAAGTGCACTCCTACTTCGTCCCCCTGGTCACACAGAACGCTACCTTTCCGTGCTTTCCCTTGCAAGGGCACTGCATACTCGTTTCTCCCATTCTGGCGAACGCGAAGACTTGAATGACTCCATCGACAGAAGTCGCGAGGCTCTTTCGCTCTTCGATCCCACTCTTCACGACCGGCTCCCCTTGCTAACCACGCTCGTAGCATCGCTGCTCAGCAATTTCTCGCAAACCGGTCAGCAGGCCGAATTGGACCAGTGCATCGAGTACGCCGAAGAAGCCGTCTCGTGCTGTCCACCAGAGTCGCGGGCTCGACCTGCAGCGTTATTCGCCCTCTCGCAATCGCTGTTCTCTCGGTATGAGCAGCGAGGCAAAACTGCCGACCTAGAGGCGGCTATCGAATGCGGGCGAGAATATGCTCGCATCTGCCTTCCGGGAGATCCTGGACGTATTCGCGCGCTGGACACCGTGGCCGCCGAACTCTTGGCGCGTTTCGAGCATGCCGGAAAGATGGAAGATCTGGAAGAGTCGATGACACTGGTCAACGAAGCTCTCGCGCTATGCTCCCCGATGATGCCCATTCGCGCGGCGCTTGTTGACACCCTCGTCGCCGCTCTAGTAGCTCGGTTCACGCAGGAAGGGCGGGAGGAAGATCTGGAGGAGGGCATCAAATATGGCGGCGAAGCCGTTGCGCTTCGCCTGCTAGATCATCCGGACCGACCTCGCTCGTTAAACAACCTTGCTGCCGCGAAGTGGACCCGTTTCCTATTCGCCAGCAAAGAAGAAGACATAGGGGAAAGCATCGCGTCTCTTCGTGAAGCCACCGAACATCTACACTCCGGTTCCATCCTTCGCACGGTAGCTCTCAGCAGACTGGCAGATGCCCTCCTTTTCCGGTTCATGTCGACAAGTGATCGTGATGATCTTGACGAAAGCGTGGCACGGGGGAAGGAGGCACTTTCTGCATGCAGTTCTGACGCGTCAAGCCGTGCGATGATACTTAACAGCCTGGCCTCCTCAATCGGCAATCGCTTTGGATACGCTGGCGACACAGAAGACCTCAAGCTGTCGATAAAGTACTTCCAAGAAGGCCTCGCTTGTTGCGCGACAGATGCACCGATGTACCTCCCCTTGGTCAATGGCTTCGTGACATCCTCCGTTGCCGCTTTCTTCTACTTCAGGCGGCATGATTTGCTACGCCGAAGCGCAGATCTGGGGCAGAAAGCATTGGACCGCTGCTCGCTCAAGAACCTACACCGCCCCGCACTACTAGGTAGCCTTACTCCGTCATTTGTGATCAAATTCATGGATGGCGGACGTCTAGAAGATCTAGAGGAAGCCGTTGCCCACGCAGAAAAAGCTCTGTCCTCATGTCCGCTCAAACTTTTTGCTCGTCCCGCTTTGCTCCTCGGTTTAGCAAGCACTTTAGATGGTCGTTTTAGGCGGAAAGGAGAATTAAACGATCTCGTTCGATGCATCGAGTGTGCCCAGACTGCTCTGTCGCTGTGTTCTCTCGGCCATCTTCTCCGACATGATATCCTGGGCACACTTGGTCAGTCTTTGGGGGCTCGCTTCGTGTACTCTGGAGAGGTGCAAGACCTGAATAAGTCCGTCAAATGCTTCCAAGATGGCCTTGCCCTGTGTCCACCACAGTCCCCTGCTCGCCCTCAGCTCATGTCCGGTTTAGCAAGCGCTTTGAACGCTCAGTCCATCCATACGGGCCAGGCAAACCCTGCGAAGAGTCCCATCGACTACTCTCAACAAGCCCTCGAGTCTTATCCCCATGGACATCCTGCGCGTGCCGACGCACTAGGGAGCTTGGCCTCGTTGTTACGTCAACGCTTTTTGATGACCGGAAACCGACCCGACCTGGAGAAGTCCGTCGAGTACTTTGAAGAGGCTCTATCCTCTTGTACGCTAGAGCCGCCTGAACAAATCGACCTGATGTTAGGATTGACGGCCACTCTCCATCAGCGCTACTCGGCAACACATAACGTGGAGGATCTTCATAAGAGCGTCGAATATGGACATAAATGCTTGTCTCTCTGTCCCTCAGGGCATACTATTCGCCCGGAGGCATTGGCGAACTTGGCGTCGACGCTAGCGGATCGCTACGGCCTACTGGGGAACGCGGAGGATCTGGAGACGTACATCAGCTACTCCAAAGAGGCTCTTGCCTCACAGGAGCAAGTGTCGCCCTGCCTTGCAGCTGATTTGATGTCTGCGCTGGCATCAGGACTCGGGGAGCGATCCGTGGTTCAAGATCGGCGCGGGGACCTGACCAGTAGCATCGACTACAGCTACAAAGCGCTCGAGCTTTGCCCCCCTGGATATACCGGCCGCATATCGGTCCTGGGCACTCTAGTGTCCTCTCTCAATCAGCGATTCATGATTACCGGTCAATTGGAGGACTTAAACAAGGCAGTTGGTTGTCTGCAAGAAATAATCCAGCTAGCACCTGACGCAGCCGAGTCTCCCATTCGTCTCACGGCAATATTGGATCTCGCGAATACCTTAGGCCAACGCTTTCATCGGACTGGTCAGCTGGACGACATCAAGAACAGCATCCAGTACGGCTACGAAGCTCTGGCGCTTTGTCCGGAAGGCGATGCTGGCCGCGCGGCAATTTTGTCATCTCTGTCGACGAGCTTGGGCGAGCGTTTCATCCAGATGGGTCGACTGGAAGACTCGAATAACTGCATGGCTTTTCTCCGCGAAGCCCTTCGTTTATGTCCTCCGGAATCTCTCATGCGTGGTCCCCTGACGACAACTCTGACAGCACACCTCTGCTATCGCTTGAAGAAGACACGAGACCCTGAAGACCTCAAAGAGTGCATGAAGTACGGGCAAGAGGCACTGCGTCTTTGCCCACCGGAGAACTCTTTCCATGCGTACAATGTCTACAACTTCGCTTGGTGTTACCAGTGCAAGTATGCCCAGACTGAAGACCCTGAGGATTTGGACAAAGCTATACTGTACTTCAGGCAGTCCCTATCTGCTCGTCCAGACCAGTCTCCTATTCATTTGGCTCTGGTTAATGACTTGAGCGACGCCCTCCTCATACGGTACAATGTGCGCAAGAAGCCGGAGGACCTCGATGAGACCATCGGTCTCGGGCAAGAGATGCTGTCGACCTATCCTTCGGACCAGGGCCACCCCGAACGCTTGCGCGTATTGTACGATCTTGCGTCGTCTCTGTACGAGAGGTATAAGAACTTGGGAGATAAAGACGACATCTCAAATGCCATTCGATACGCTGAAGAGAGGTATGTAGCCGTTCTTTGAGTACAAGTCGAAGAGATGCTTATGCTCTCGAATCAGCGCTCTTTCCGAACCCGTTCTCAGCCATATACAGCAGCTTCGGTCTGCGATGCTCTGGGCGCAGCTGGCTCATATCGACAATCACCCTCAGGCATTCAAGGCTTACCGCACCTGCTTCGAGCTGTCGGAGCGGAACCTCGTGATCGCGCCTACGCTTGAAATGCAGCACGAAGTGGCACAGGTACAAGGGTCTGTGCCTCTGGACGCTGCGGCATATGCAATCGGGCAGGGAAATTTACGACTCGCGGTGGAGATGTTAGAGCAGGGTAGGGCTCTCCTCTGGTCTCAGGTTCGCCGTCTGCGCACGTCCCTTGACCAGCTCGGCGATGACAAGGACTCAGCATCTCTGCGAGATGCTTTCCTGGAGAAGAGTCACGCACTAGAGGCGATCAGTACCTCCTCAAACCCTTTCATATATGCCTCAGACGTCGAGAAAACGAATGATCGATATGGATCTATGCTGGAAAAGAAACGCCGTCTGTCTGCGGAACTGAAAGAGGTCGTCGAGCAGATCCGCAAAAGGTTCCCAGACTTTCTCGGGTTACCCTCCTACGACAAGCTCAAGACGGTCTCTGCTGAGGGTCCGGTCGTCATCGTCAACCATAGCAAGTACCGCTCGGATGCTATCATTCTTGGTCCTGCCGAGAACCTCAGCCACGTCCGACTTTCCGATACCTTCTACGAGCAGGCCATCGTACTGTCGGACAGGCTACTTAACGCGCGTCAGGCCTTGAAACGCTCCGCCCAGAAGGAATACGATCAGGCCCTGCGCCTCACGCTCAAGGTCCTCGGCGAGCTTCTCGTAGGCCCCGTCGTGGAAAAGCTGAGAGACCTCGGAGTCAAGGAAGGGTCTCGGATCTGGTGGTGCCCGACCTCCGTGGTGTCTGCGTTACCGCTGCATGCCGCAGGCCCGCTGAAGCTGCCAGAGCCGAAATCAGCGAAAACCAAGGCGTACCTCCCGGACCTATACATCCCTTCCTACACCCCAACCCTCACTGCACTTATCGAAGCCCGCGCGGCGCCGGCTAATGGCCACGGACCAACAGAGCGCGGAGGCCTTCTTGGGGTCGCCATGCTGGACAAGTCGCTGAAGGCGGTCGGCGAGGAAGTGAAGGTGCTTCGCACAAGCTTCGCGGACGACAAGCTCACACTCGCTATTGGAAATGGATGTAATCGCGAGGCGGTGGTCGATGGCCTTGCACAGCGGCCCTGGATACATTTCGCGTGCCATGGGACGCTGAAGGCAGGCGAGCCTTTCAACTCGGCGTTCATACTGTCTGAAAGCGACCGACTAACGCTGCTCGACATCGTTAAGGCTGGTCTGCACAACGCCGAGCTGGCGGTTTTGTCGGCATGTCATACTGCAGAGCAGACGCAGGGCAGCGCTACGGAGGAGGTTCTCCACCTGGCGGCTGCGATGCAGTTCTCCGGCTTCCGAAGCGTGGTGGGGACGATGTGGCAGGTGGAGGACGACGATGGACCAACGTTCGCGAAAGACTTCTACCACGAGATTTTTGCAGATCAGAACGAGGACAACTCATCCCTTGCGGCTGAATTTGGATTCAAGAAGGCTGCACGAGCGTATTGCTCCGCAACGAAGGAGATGCGTCGGAACAAGATAAATCTGGAGAGATGGGTTAATTTCGTACATATTGGGGCATAGGTATGTCTAGCACTCCGAAAATAAGTACGCTTGTCTGACAAGGATCCAGCTTGTTTCTCTTTCTGTGATTGTATTTGAAGAACGGGGGGCCGATGGAGGACACATGTAAGACAAGCTTTCGCTAGGATAAAACGATTCAGAAAGAGTAGAAATCGAAGCCGCTAAAAAGTGAAACGGAATATAAGTTATGGATAACATGTTGAATGAAGGCTGATACTCACTTCGCGGGGAAACCGTGCTCTGAAAATGGGATAACGATGATGCCGTCCTGCATGAGTATGACCTGGTCGTTACGAGTGATAGGGATATCTGATATAGTCGCCCGATATGGCGCGGCAGTTGTGGTGACCTGCGCCCACGGTCCAACGTTGCTCGAGGGCTCCCACACCACTTCGGCCCCTTCCACCGTGGCGCTGTGTCGCAATGCTGTTGTGGAGGCAAAGTCGTAGAGGACAAGACGCTGGTGTTCTCTCTGGCTCACACGGACTCGTGAACCAACAACGTAAAGCGATCCTGATATCTGGCCAAACCGGTCGATGGGCAGCTCAAAGAGTCTCGACTCGCGGCCCCAGCTGTCCCAAGACACTGAAGTTGATTGTCCTGTCCGGAGAGCCGGGTCTTCGAGTCGAGACCTGAGTACATGCGATGGTATGATCAGGTTGAAGATACGAAAGTCTTCGTCATGGTATACGCCCATATCTATCAGAATGATAGGATCCGTCCTCGTAGGTCGAAAGATGCCGGCGTCTGCTGTAAATGAAAAGCGAGGGCTGGAGCAGATATTGAGGAAGTCAAAGATGGTGTCGGAGGCCAGAGAGGGAAGTGCGAGGACCAGTTTGGCGTTCTGATACATGAAATCCTGGAAACTTGTTCGGGACCTTGGCGCGGTGGTGTGATTTATGACTGCGATGCAAGGTGCGTCTGTTCCAGCGGCTCCGCATAAGATATGTTCTTCATCCAAGAAGCCGAGGTCATGCAATATGACCCGGTGCTCTGGTTGCGAATACACTTCCTGTGAACGACGAGTATTTTTTAAAACCGGCTAAGAAAATAATAGCGGAAAATGTCAACTCACTAATAAGGTCTCCTGCGTTTTCCAATTAAAAACGAAAAGTTCGCGATGCGCTTCCTCATCTTGCACTCTGTGCAAGATCAGAAGACTCATCACTTCGCCGTAGAGACGTACGTTGAAATCCCAATCTTCGAGCTGTGCCTCGAAGATGAAATTATGTGCTGTCAGAGACAGCGTGGACGGGCCTTCGCCCTGATATGGCATCCCGGTTCTACATGAGAAGAAGCATAGATCCACAGTGGGCGTGCCATCACGGCTGCAAGAAGCTCAACGTCAACACTTCTGACGCCAGAGTTGAGGGATCAGTTTGATATCGCTTACATTTGGAGAATAGCAAGTACGTCTTGTGTGACGTCAAATGTCCATGCTTCCGGTTTAACCAGCTCGGGGAGGCCGCGGACCATCCAGCGCTCAGCTTGTACACGCCGCAGCTCTGAGCATTGGCGGATGAACTGAAAGGCACCTGGCTCGCCGAGACAAGCATCACCGAGCACCGTATAGTGTACACATAATGCTGAGTCCACCATCTGGCGTGTTCTGAATGGTATGACAATTTTCTCAGACCAATGAAGTCTGCTCCAGGATTTTCGCCATCGTCGTACGCTCTGCTGGCGGTCTAACAGATCTATGGAACGACCCGAAGAGGTATCGGAGACGTCTGCTAGAAAGCACTCAATTCTGTACTGCAGAGCGGGCGATGCCCTGATAATATCTTTGAGTGCACGGGAAACCTAGAGTGACAGACACACAACCATTTGAGCCGCTGCTGGCTGATAAAGGGAAGTGCGGCTTACCGCCTGCGCGCGAACGATAGTCACAGCATCGGAAGACAGCAAGATAGTCTCCACGAGTTCCAGAGGGAGCCGTTGCAGAGTGCCAAGGGAATCGACATGCCAGTGCGTGGACCCGCCTGACATGGCGCCGTTAGGTTGAATGCCGTCAAGTTCAATTTTTAGTTGACGCGGGGGATAATGGGCGAAGTGCTCAGGAGGCACAGCATAAGACATGATGGTAACGACAGAGAAACAAGCAAAGATTGGCAGAAGCTGCAAAGCTTGTCCACCCTAGGCTCGAGCGGGCTCCGAGTTTGAGCCTGATCATGAAGTTGCCATGAACGCGCGCTTAAAGACGGACCCCGAAAACCGTCGAACGTGTCCCAGTAGCGTTCACCCCGCCACGATTAATCACACGCACTACTGATGGTGAGCTTAACGATTAGGACATATAGCCAAACTTTCAAAATCGATGTGATACTTAGTATCTACCTACTCGTAGCTGTAGGTGGATAGAAAGCATGTAAACGCACGGCTCTTTCCCACCCTGGACGCTCAAGCATAGGCTTCTCAGTCCGGGAACCTATACGCAATTTCGATGAGAGCTTTCAGGGGCTAAGAGACGCAATATATCTCCTGTGCGTATTTAAAACATAGATTTCGAGGAACTTCCGACGCTGTCGACCGTTATTGCAGTATGGCTCGATCTCGCATGTACTACTACAGCTTCATCCGCCAATGTGCGACATGTAGTCCAAAGTCACGCAACAGTAGAACGACTTAGTAGTCGCTATGCATTACCGACGTAGAGAATACATCCATCAGTCCATGAACCGTATCGCACAAGCAAAGGTTACGCTGCGACATGCCGACCGGCAGTATTATTAAGGTACCGGAGACAGAACATGAATGCACGTACGTCGTACGCAGGCGCAGAACTACAGTTCTGAAATAGCTGGGAGCCGATAGGATGCTACCAGAAGTATGGAAGGCGAACGTGAGAAACGATTCGGGAGTCGGGAGTTGTGCGTGTACGAGGAGAACAGCCGCTTCTAGGCTTCGAGCGGATCCCTGCAGACTCCAAAATTGCGAACATACCATACCATCGCTACGCCCAGAAAAGATAGTTCTGTGAGACAGAATGAGACACCGCAGTCGAACAATACGGGAGAGCGGTGTATTAATGCAAACGGAATGATGCGAAGGGTCTTGAATATGCCAGACTGAATAAGTGCAATGCACACGCAGGAGTCGGACAGAGCGATACGGCGCAGTGCCGCGGTGGTCGTTCGAGAAGTCACCATCCCCTCGGCTGCAGCTGACCGTGTTCGGACCCGCCGCGAAGCCTTGCTCGGGGCGCAAGATCCGATGCACGGTTGGGCATGCGTGCGATATCTGCTCAGTCGGCAGCCACAGTCAAAGACGGAGACAGTAACGGCCCAGGGATGGAGGCCCCGGTGATGATGTATGTCTACCGGTTTGTTGCCCGAGCATGGCCGTTTGAGGTTCATGCGCAACGGGACAGGAGTGAGGTGCTGGTCCTCTGGAACCTTTTGCACCACTTCGCGAGAGCTTTATCAAAGCTAGACCATAAAAGGCCTCCCGGAACACTCCAGAATATGTGTCCCAGTGCGTGGTCGTGTCAGGCGGTACAGGAACGGCTATCTCGTGGGCATATCCAGGAGATACCCAGGGTACGACGAGCCTCCCTGAGACCCTGCCATCGTCGGGTGGTACAGGGTAGCCACGTCGCATTACTGTGCATCGTTGACAGTCAATGTAGGGTGGCGAAAGGAGGGCAAAAGGGGGGTGCTGGCAGGTAATTCAGTGGGAAAAGCCGTGCACCGCCAACGGGCGTCCGCGGTCAACGGTCAACCCTGGCGTAGATTGCAGAGCTAGTACAGTTCGAGCGGCCAACGTCTCTGTCAATGAAGGCCGTGTCTGCGATGTCAGCGAGCAGGAAAGCAGGGATGCACTGGTTTGAAGGTCTCTGGAAAGGTCATGCGCGCCGGCGCTCATGCATATTACCAAATAGAGTATGGTGTCCCTCCACCGACACCGCCTGCGCCGCGGGTGGTGCTCATAACAGATAATTTCTGCGAAAAAATAAGGCCCTTGAAAGTAGAGGTGGCAACGGACAACAAAGAGTAAGCGAGGGCGAGTGCGTAATGCTGCATTTTAGGACGGAACTTGGCGGCGGTGCCAGTGTTTGGCCGCTGTTTTGCGAATGTGATCACCAGACCCCGCTCTTTCCCCTTCCACCTCCTCGTTCTCCAAGCTCCTCTCCTCAGCGTCCTCCAGGTGTCGTCTTCTGCCACGAAACGCTAAGGAGCGCGCCCGCTTGCAGACTACTCGACACTGTGAACGAATTCCGAGTCTTAATTGCCTCACCACGCTCATATACAGCCCCCGCGTCGCCATCCCAGTCCGCCCCCATAACATCTTCCACGTTCCTACTCCCAAATGGCAACTCACGGTCCCATAAATGGCGTGAAGATCTCCCGTAAGTGTTCTTTCGGTTTGGCTCCGAACTGTTGACCGTCCCCGATTCCAAATCTGGTCGGTCTCCTCCACCCAGAGCTCCCTCTGCCACCTCTCCCCGCATTTGCCCATGTCCCAACGCAATAAGCACCACGCTGACCCTCTCCCACTGTTAGCCGTCGATGATCCCCGGAAGGTCGTCAAGGTCGTCGCCTCAGACGGCAAGACTGGCGAGCAGAAGGACCTCTCCTATACCAATTGCAAAGTCATAGGAAATGGTTCTTTCGGTATCGTCTTCCAAGCACGACTCCTCGACGAGCCCGGCAACACAGACATTGCAATCAAGAAGGTCCTGCAGGACAAGCGGTTTAAGGTGTGTCCCCCGTTCGATCGCCAGAGATCGTCCATCCTCATCGTACCCACGACAGAACCGCGAGCTCCAAATCATGCGTCTTGTTTCCCACCCGAATGTAGTCGATTTGAAAGCTTTCTTTTATTCGAATGGGGACAAGGTTAGTCATGTTGTTCACGAGGTCGCGTTGCGGGTATTTACGTCGCTCCGACAAAGAAAGACGAAGTGTACCTCAACCTTGTGCTCGAGTATGTCCCCGAGACTGTGTACCGAGCGAGCCGTCACTACGCGAAGCTCAAGCAGCCGATGCCTATGCTTCAAATCAAGTTGTACATGTACCAGCTGCTGCGCTCGCTCATGTACATCCACTCTGTCGGCATCTGTCACCGTGACATCAAGCCTCAGAACTTGCTCCTGAACCCATCAACTGGCGTGCTCAAGCTGTGCGATTTTGGTTCAGCGAAGATCCTCGTCGCCGGCGAACCCAACGTCAGCTACATCTGCTCGCGGTACTACCGCGCGCCTGAGCTCATCTTCGGCGCGACTAATTACACCACTAACATCGGTATGCCACTGCTGCTGTCCATTACGGCGCGTTTTGTTGACAGAGTCTCTTACAGACATTTGGTCGACTGGTTGTGTGATGGCAGAGCTGATGTTGGGTCAGCCCCTGTTCCCGGGTGAGAGTGGCATCGATCAGCTGGTCGAGATCATCAAGGTGCTTGGTACGCCGTCGCGTGAGCAGATCAAGACCATGAACCCGAACTACATGGAACACAAGTTCCCTCAGATCAAGCCCCACCCCTTCTCCAAGGTACGTACTATCAGTCTTTCGCGCTTGGAGCGTGTTCTGACCTGATGGCAGGTCTTCCGCCCGCGCACAGCGCCGGAAGCAATCGACCTCGTCTCGAAGCTGCTCGAGTACACCCCAGATGCGCGTCTGAGCGCAGTCGAGGCCATGTGTCACCCGTTCTTCGACGAGCTTCGCCAGGAGGGCGCGAAGATGCCCAACGGGAAGGAGTTCCCTGCGCTCTTTAACTTCACACGGGAGGGTACGTGCTCGAGCGCTTTGCGCCTTTCATGTCGTGGCATTGCACATCGCTGACGTTTTATCTCCGCGCTTTGCATCGCGCTGCGTCCCACAGAGCTGTCGGTCCGCCCTGATCTCATCAGGACGCTGGTGCCACCACACTGCGAGGCGGAGCTGGCCTCTCGCCAAATCTTCTTGGACAACTTCCAACCGATACCACTGGAGCAGATGCGGATTACTCTGGACTAATCTCCGCACAGCGCGGATGAGGATGAGGATGAGTGAGAGGAATTATTTGCTGCTTTCTGCCTCTATTATTGATCGTGATGCGTTTTCCTTTGTCCGGCCTCGTCCTCACTCACTGCTGCTGTACTCTGCTCTCAGGTCCGTGGTAGTGCGCCCATGTACTGAGCCTAGGTACCGCCGGATGGCCCATCCTTGTACCAGCATGATGTTGCGCCACATTGTATACATGCCGTCGATGCACGTATGATGATTGCACCTGTAGCTTGCAGCCATGTTGTCATAATTACCACGAATACAAAGATACGAACTGCACTCTGTCCTTTCCTGAGTGAGGGAAAGGTTGCGCTTAGCTTAAGCTTAAATGACGCGCACGTGATATTGCTGACATAACGAAGACGTGATCTCTCGCAGCGGTAGCGTGACTTTCGCAATCGGAATTGCGCACCTGCAGACGGACACCAAAATATCTTAAACATGCATCGCAGGCGGACGTCTCCGCCGTCCTTCTCTTCCTCTTCCTACTCACACTCAGCGAGGGCGATGGCCTCCACGTCGTCCTCACCCCTCTCCTCGTCAAACGGCTACGTTTGCGACACCATACCCGCCCCCAAGCTGGCCAAAGCACCTGCATCCCGTTCCCCCAGCCCCAGCCCGCCCTCAACACCCCCCATTGCCGCCTTCGAAGCACCGATACTCGCATCCGAATCGCTGGACTCGAATCGCAAGGTCGAACAGATCCACCATGTCCCGGCATACTCTTCGCAGCTCACTGCGCCTCCTGGACGGAAGTTGTGCGTGCGCCATCAGAGGATGGCCGACGAGGGGACGAATCTGAAGCTTCAGCAGGTGAGCCATCGTCTTTCCTGTCTCTCGTGGAGTCCCCCGCCGTGCTTTGGCCGTCGTCGTCGTCGTCGTATCTTCCCGAGCTGCTCCATCTGGCATCTACCGGGACCCGCTACAGGTCTCGGGTTCTGCACATGCTGCGTTTGGGCCCACACTAGGAGATCTCGTTGCATCGCATAGAGTGCCAGCGAGCCCGGGGTCTCTCTAGAGCACCTCGAGTAACGGGAGGTCCCGCTTCGCGCGCACGCGACTGGGAGAAGCACGCGCCACTATAATCATCGTGTGTCTCTGGGATCATATTCATCATATTCGGGCTCTGTTGCGTTGAATGCGCAAATTGAAGATCTTTGACATGCTCAACGTGGCCATCGTCGATAACAGCGACGGTCGCGGCCCTGTCCCCGCAGATAGAGCGAGGCTCCGCGCACGATTCTGGATGCAATTTTCTCGCACGTATTGACCCGCCCTGTTCTTCTAGGCCCTCGATGCACTCCCCGTAGAGGAGCGCAGTGCGGTGAACGCTATATGGTCCAATTTCTCTTCATCTCCACACCCTCGACGTGCTTTGATCCTCCATGGGCTCCTGACCATGTGCTGCTTCTCGCAACTGTCACTCTTAAGCGAGCAGTTGGCACATCTCATCCGTATCGATCCTTTCACCGTTCTCCCGAGCGAAGTTTCGCTCAAGATCCTCGGCTATCTCGACGCACAGTCCCTGTGCCGCGCCGCTCAGGTGAGCAGACGGTGGAAGGCACTCGCCGACGATGACATCCTCTGGCGGGGTATCTGCGAACAGCACATCGGGCAAAAGTGTCTTAAATGCGGTTGGGGTCTGCCTATTCTGGAGAAGCGTCGGTTTCACCACATTCCCTCCCCCATGGCCAGTCCCTCTCCACTTCCCATGGCTGAGCCGAAGCGCAAACGTGAAGTCGATGTATCGCAGCCGGAGCATCCATCACTCAAACGTCAAAGGTCGGAAGGCCTAGAAGGCATATCAAATGTCTCAACCCCAATATTTGCTCCGTCATCCTTACATCGCGACATCGATGCGGCACTGTCGCCGGCTCACAACCCCCTCTTAGCACCCAATGAGCCACCGCCTTGCAGTACCGTCACGCGACCGTGGAAGGATGTCTATTGCGAACGACTTACGATAGAGCGTAACTGGCGTCGCGGTCGATGTACAGTTCGTACGCTATCAGGGCATACCGATGGCGTGATGTGCCTCCAATTCAGCGAAACCCTCTCTCATCCCGCGTTTCCTATCGTTATCACTGGCTCGTACGACCGCACTGCTCGTGTCTGGAATTTGGAGACTGGACGCGAGATCCACTGTCTCACAGGGCACACTCGCGCAGTCCGTGCGCTTCAATTCGACGAAGCCAAGCTCATCACTGGCAGTATGGACAACACGATGCGAGTATGGGACTGGCGCACCGGCAAGTGCCTCCGCGTCCTCGAAGGTCACACCGAAGGCGTCGTCTGTCTCAACTTTGACTCCAACGTCCTCGCAAGTGGTAGCGTCGACACCACCGTCAAAGTGTGGAACTTCCGAACTGGCGAATGTTTCACACTTCGCGGACATCGCGACTGGGTCAACTCTGTCCAGCTCTGGGACTCCAACGACAAATCGTTCGGCTCGTGTTCGCCCGTCCAGAGTCCCGCGGCCTTTGACGGAGCCGTCTCCGCTCCGAAGGGCGAGTATTCTAAACCTTGCATCGATCCTGGCAAGATGCTCTTTTCTGCTTCGGACGACGGCACTATCCGCCTGTGGGACCTCGCAAAGCGAGCGTGCCTCCGTCAGTTCACAGGGCACGTGGGCCAGGTGCAGAGCCTCAAGCTTCTCATGGTTGACGAGGCGTGCGAAGATTCGACACCGGAGCCGCCGCAGGAACAGCCCGAGGCGGGCGGCATCTCCAAGCCGCGCGAGACGCATTCAGCGACGCGCATTGCACACACGCAGCCGTTTGGGCCCCGTCTGGGTGGCGAGGCGGTGGCGACGTCGCGCGTGATCATTCACGATCACGAGCACGCCGAGGACGCGAAGGGCCGGGACAAGGCCGTCGCAGCGTCCGCGGCAAACGAGCAGCGCGCCGTGTCCGTGACGAGCCGCGCGAAACCCGTGCTCCTCTCGGGCAGCCTCGACAACACGATCAAGGTGTGGGACCTCGACACTGGCAAGGCGACGCAGACGCTCTTTGGGCACATCGAGGGGGTGTGGGCTGTCGCAAGCGACAAGCTGCGGCTTGTGAGCGGCAGCCACGACAGAACCATCAAGGTAAGCTTGTTGTCGTGTTCTTGTGTCGTCGGAGTGGGTTGTTAATGCCGTCATCCCCAGGTGTGGGTGCGCGAAGAGGGGCGGTGCACGGCGACGCTCGTTGGCCACCGGGGTGCTGTGACCTGTGTGGCGCTCGGCGAGGATAAGATTGTGTCCGGCTCGGACGATGGCGATGTCAGGATCTGGAGTTTTAGTGGATGAATGATGTGAACTAATTGCGTGCTCGTTCCACTCGTGTAGATCTGGCAGACTAAATACCTTTTCTTATTACTAGAGTTATTGCGTACATCAGCAACGGTCTTCTTATTCATATAGCACACAGCATCTTCAGCAATTACCACGAACTTTCTGGCCCCGATGTGCAGATGATCACGTGACGTGCCTGGCCTCAGTGTGAGCAATGTTGGCTCGCGACACTGTCCTTGGCATGGGACCTTAAGTTGCCATAGCGCGCAGTAAGCACACCATTTATCCGTGAATTGGCGTGCGTGGTGCTAATATCTGCTATCGGTTACTCGTATGGTGATATATCGTCCTCAATCTGGGGAGGGAGAGCCCGCGGCCGCGATTACCTGAAATCAACACCGTAATGCTGATCAAACACGTCGTCTTCGAATGAGCTGAGTCGTCCATTGCCCGCTGAGCGCGGGCGCAAGCCTTGCGGCGCGGTGATCACCGATCCATCATGCTGATAGTTACGTTGGGACCTCGATACACACCGCTCCCCTCAACATTCGGAACATCTCACTTCACACATCTTTGAAGACGAATGCTGTGGCACAGGCCGCTCTACACACTGCTAGTAGACAGAAGAGCGTCGCCGGTCTCGCGATGCCAGCGGGGGCACCATCCAAGGCAAAAAGACACCATGCTTGTCAAGATCACCAGCGGAGCTTCAAGCCTTTCGGGCAAGTCGCTAGAAGAATTTCTGATATCTATCCGGCAGCATCACTCTCCTTCAATGCTACGGTTTTTCAACGAGTATTGTGTCATTATCAACGGTCATTACGTACGTCAATTTTATAGCGCATGACTCTCGGTACATTTACAAATTGTTCTAAACTAATTTTTTTTAAATACTCATTATAAGATACGCATTCATCTCTATATGAAGCCTTCATCGACAATGGACTTTTTAATCAACGTTTCAGCGTTCGCGTGGCGGGGCCTAGTAAAGCTGACTTTAAATGACAAAGGTAGCTAGCGTTGAGCGCTTGAGCGCTGAGCCTTTGCTCAACAATGGACCACTAACCCTGGATGTGCGGACCACGCACCGAATCGCCCCGGACATGTATTCTCAATTTCTACGAACTCCTTGGCAAAATGACGGCCAGGTCACATTCGCCTACCATACTCGAAGAATGCCTCGTTAGAATCCGGGGCGTCATCGTCTAGCTTGCCTTCAGAGGCCAGGAAGCGCTCGAGAACGATGAGTGCTTCTGAGTTAGGATATGTCCTCTCGTTGTGGGGGTGGCCCAGCCGAAAACGGACATTGTGAAGATTGGCTGACGCGAATCATCTGCTAATGATCAATTATCAAGTTACCAAGAATTCCTGACAAGTAGAGGGCCCGTGGGAAAGTAGTACACTATCGCATTCGCATTACATCCTGAATGTTACACAGATGAGGAGGTCCGTTAAAGAAATTCACAAGGAGAGTTTGATTGTCAGGCAGAAACCGTGCCTGCAGTTCTGCCATGTTATCTCTGAACCTCTCGAATTTCGCAAGAAATGACCCAGACTTCGCGTCATAGACGTTGGGACATCCGCTATCATCGCCGAAGACAACGTAATCTCCGCCTGGGGAGTAGGCCGCAAATTTCACCGTGTATGATAACTTGAAGTTTCGACGTAGCCGGCCTGTGCGGGAGTCGTAGACGATAGCCATCTCGTCGGCTACACAAGCCACGAGCACCTCGGTGCCGTCTGGAGAGAACACTACAGGGCATGATAGCGTTCTCGGGTGATTGACAACGAGAAGCTCTTCGCCAGTTACCGCGCACCAAACTTTCATTTGTCCCTCGTGCGAGATGGTGGCTATGCGGTCTCCTTGCCGAGAAAATGACCAGTCGAGGTCCCCTGCGCCTTCATGCTGCAACGTAGCGATGTTTGCATAGGTTCGAGCATCGTAGATGAGACAGGAGCGTTCAGATGCGATGTGGAGGCGTGAGTCATCAGGGGAGAAGGCGAGCTCGTGAGCGCACGAGTTCAGCCTGAGAGTATGTAAGCGTGCTCCGGTCGAGATATCCCATACCCCCACGGAGTTGTCCTTGTAACTAGTGGCCAAGAGCGAGCCGTGAGGAGCGTATGCAATCGCTCTCACCGTCGAATCATGCGCTTTTAGACGTAGAAGTGCACGACCGCTTCTTATATCCCAGATGACTACCGTCCCGTTGATGCAACCAGAAGCGAGAGTGTCGTGGTTGGGGGAGAATGCAAGGGAACGAACGCAATTCTTGTGGCCCTGATCATCATGTAGGCGCTGGAGCAGTAGGCCATCAGATAGCCGCCAAAGCAGTACATCGCTCCTAAAGAACGACAGCGCTAGCAGCTTGCTATCGGACGACCAGGCAAAGCAAGCGAAGCTACGGAGCAAGTCTTGAGAATCGGCGAGGATGAGCTGCTGCGATTTCAAAGGCCGAGCCTCCGCTTCCGGAGGGCTGATAAAGACGTGTCCGTGTTCCAAGCGACCAGCATGGGCGAGGGTGAGATTCGGCCATTCCTCCACGTCGAGACGTGTAATGGTGGGACACGTAAAGGAGCGGTCTCGCTCATGGGATATCACATATTCCGTGCACAGCCATCCAACTGCATCAAGAATTTGTCATATTTTAGACACCGCTACTGTGCGAGAAGATTCGGAACGCACCTCTGCCATTAACTTCTACTGGTGGTTGTACTTGACAAAGATAGCTTGCGAAATCAACCACCCGGTTATCGCCCTGGGCAGAAATCAGTATTCATACTCGTATCGGATACTCCTTGTATACATACCACAATGCTCTCGACATCATCGTCGCTGGCAACGACAATTTCGGCGTGTGAGGTCTGCAGTTCAGAGTACATCCGCTTAGCGTGATAGCTAAAGCTGCCGAAAGGACTCACCTCCAGCATATACTCAAGAAGAATATCCAGTGGATCGGGACCATCTGGACCTTCTCCCTGCTACTTCATCAGTTCGAGTGCTTGTGAATCACCGCAAGCCTATATTTTCACCTCGCCTGAAAGACTGTGACCATCCGCAATCACGTCGAGCTCCTCGTCCATAATCCCGTGGCCATCCGTCATCGCGACGATTGTCCGCGACAGAGTCGCTAAACGCTCTCGCAATTTGTGGCGCTTCAGGAAGACGCACTGGTCTCTCCTTATCTTTGCCAAGGAGGGACCGGACGGGATCGCCGAGTAGTTCCGACCCTGCCGATGCATCCTTAAACCTGTTGCAGAGCTTGTGTGCGACTGGCTCGCGCCGATACCTCCGGCGTCACTGACTGGGTTATTGAAGTCCGTGCTTGTGCTACCGAAGGCGGCTACCGCCCAATCCGCCTCGGTCTTGACCCAACCGCCAACTACGACGAGGTTCTTACGCTCGACTTTTAGGCCTAATTCTCTTGTGGCATACGCGTACCATTCGTCGTAGTGTCGGACGATGTACTCCTTGAGAAAGGTGCTTTCGAATATTGTTTCGATGTGAGCTTCGCTCTTCAGCGCCAAAACTGCACCTTGTGCCGCGTGGCACATGTAGCTTGTACTGAGAGTCGCTGACGCGTCTGTATAAGGCGTTCTGTAGACTGTCAGTGGGAAAGTGTATCTTGGATGAGCCGATCCGCTCACAGGTCTGCCGAAGTATGCGTTTCATTGCTCTCAACCTCAGGGCTACAGTAATGATTGGGAGCAAGCGGACGATGCCTGCGGTCAATCTCGAGTACGCTCTGCGGCAGGGGCTCCGTGATCTTGAACGATGGATCCCAGAATGTGACCTTCTTCTCGGGCGCAGAGGTGTCTATGTTGAGTAGCCTGATAAACGCGCCCTGGTGTATAAAGCCTACATCGCCAATCTGTGGTTCCCCCGTGTCATGCGGCTCTGGATGCCAGAGGGCATAGCCTTGGTTAAAGATCGAAAGACTGCACGAGTATATCGTATCCGGAGCAGACGACGGGCGATGCAGGCAGAACATGGCCGCTGAGAGCGGGGGGGTGGGGGGGGGGGGGGGGGTGGGTGGTGACGAGTGGT